TTAAAAAAATGAATTTTTTTATGTCAAAAACAAAAAATTTTATATTTTAATGTTGATTTTCTTAAAGTTTGAGAAAAATCACTTCAAGAAAGTGTATTTAAATATTTTTGTTGTTGGATGGCAATACGTTAAAAAATAACTTGCAAAGTCGTGTGCTCAAAAAAGCGAAATTCGTATAGTAAAATTCGTATAGTAAAAAATATGCAATTTAAACAAAAACGCAAATATACGTGTCGATTTATTTTCAATAAAGAACAATAAAAAAATAAATTATATCATTTTTGTATCATAGGTGTAAATTTTGTATGGATTGCCCCATATGTACAATGAGTTTTGAAACACCAGTATGAAGTATTCTCTCCGGCCAATATCGCAGCAGCTTATGTAATAGCCTTTATTTCCGCCTTGATGTTGGTGTTCAATTCCAAAGGACAGTCATTAATTTAGTTATTTTTAAATTAAATTTAGAAATGTAAATAATTTAAATATAAATAATTTTATTTTATTCATTAATTTTTTACTACTTTGTTTAACCAATGTTAAACAAAAAAGTACTATAAAAAAAATAAGTTACATAATAAAAAAAATCAAATATGAATAGGGTAATGCAACCGACTAGGTGTAAGGAGAATATTTTAAAATTTTTTACACATGACAAGAGATATTATAATCTTCCAGCAGCTATTATTATAATGTCAGTTATTATTTTCTGTTTGACAGATTGAATTTTTACTGTAGTTTGCACATCTAGTAATATCTACAATTAAAATAATTTTAATGAATTAAATTGCTTATGTTAAAATTAATAATATTTGTAATTAACAGACTTATCAACAAAAAAAAAATTTTCATTTAATTTTCTGTCTTCGAAAATCGAACTCCGAACAAATGGACACCAAACAAGTAAGTTACCACCAAAGTGGTTGACCAGAACGCAATTTACCTTCATTTTTTCAGAATTGGGAAGCTGGCCAGTGCACTATATTTTGTTAAGAAGTTGAACATCCAAAAGATATACAACAAATACACTTAGTCTCATCTCCAAGTGAATTAACCATAAGTCTTCTCATCCCTGTAATAGAGCAAAATAATTTAAATTTTTTACTAACCTTCATTTTCATTCCTTTAGTTTCAAATGGCAAAAATAATGCAGCTATCCCTGATAGAAATATAACTCCAGCCAGCAGAGACATGGCTGCGATTGGACTATCAATAACTAGAACCTAAAAATGCAGAAAACATTCGAATATGTTGAAAGTCATGTTGTACAGTGCGCAAAATAAAAAACAGACCTCCCTGAATGACTATCTAATGATGGGATCTTCACATTCTAGAACTCAATCTTATGGTTTGAAGGGGTTATCTCAAATATGTTGATTAATTAGTGCAGGCAATAAAGTTACGAAATCAGACACGAAAATATAGTTTCTCAGAATGAACAACTTTGTTTTCGACAGATTCGGATTTCTGACCCCCTAAGAATATAGAGAGTAATCGCAATCTGGAAAATATTGTCCCCATAGTTTGGACAGGAGAGCGATCTACTAGACCGATTACGCTCAGATTTTGCATTTCAGCTTGTCAAATTACATCCTTCAAAATGGTGTAAAAAGTTGAATACCTTGCAGTTAAAAATTGTTTCGACTATTGTTAAATAAAATAATAAAAAATAATAAATATTTACTTAGCGTTATTTTTTGCTTGGAATTATTTTTGAATAAACGAATTTTATAATTGTGTGCAAATGATTAGCAATTCGCTTTAAAAGTTCTCACGAAATGGCGAAATTTGCAAAAGATAAATTATCATTAAGTGGCTAAATTTTCGAATTCTCTTTGCCTATATGAACTATTGGGATTACGATTATCGCCCTTATTTTGAGAGTCAAAAATTGAATTTTTTGCTTGGAATTATTTTTGAATAAACGAATTTTATAATTGTGTGCAAATGATTAGCAATTCGCTTAAAAAGTTCTCACGAAATGGCGAAATTTGCAAAAGATAAATTATCATTAAGTGGCCAAATTTTCGAATTCTCTCTTGCCTATATGAGCTATTGGGATTCCGATTATCGCCCTTATTTTGAGAGTCAAAAATTCAAACCAGTCGGAAAAAGGATATTTTTTCCGAACACGTTTCTGTGTCTGATTTCATTACTTAAAATATCTTCTGAAAATTATTAATTAGCATATTTGAGATCACCCCCAGAAACTAATTAAGATTGAGTCCTAGAACGTGAAGATCTGATCTAAAGTTTTTCAGGATGGACCGTTTTTTTGTTTTTCGCAGTGAAATTAATTTCTTGGTGGATATGAAAAAGCATTGATCACTTAAATCACAAATATTTGATAATTTCTTAAATCACTGTCGAGAAAATCATAGAATTTGATAGTTAAAAGACCAAATTCGTAAAAAGTGCTTTAGAATAAAAAAAACTATTTCATTTGAACATGAATTAAAATTTCTTCATGTCTCCTCATATTTGACCAATATTTTTTTATTTAAAATAATTTTGAATATTGGTGAAAATTAAATTCTCCAGTTAAGTTTGTCTTCTAAAAGTGGCGAAGTAGTGACTTCATTTCAAAAGTAGTTAGTAGTCTCCACATTTAAAAAAAGTAGTTGTAGTTAACTACAATTGTGATAAAATAGTCATAGCTAACTACAAAGAAAATGTAGTTCTTCCAACCACTGATTGAAACCTACATAAAACATAATAAGACTAGAAAACCTGAATAAATCCCCATTTACCTGAGCAACGTAAGGAACCATAATCCCTCCAAGTCTGCAGAACGAGCTGCCTGTTCCCATGGCTAAAGCTCTAAACGTTGTCGGAAAAAGCTGTAAATGGGATAAGAATCATATTTTATTCATGTCTGAGTAAAATATTAACTCATTTTTATTAAAATTTGAGAGTATTCAAAATTTATATTGATACGACTTACTTCTGTAGTCATAATGTAAATCAACTGAAATACGGCTAACAAAATAGCTCTTGCTCCAAAAAGGACTAGAAGTATGATGATTTTGCTATAAAAAAAAGTAAATACAATTATTCGAGTGATTGAGTTTCTAAGTCAGTGCTTCGGCGTATTATACCCTCTGCGCAAGAGCTCTCATATTTTTTTTTTAAAAGCGTACGTTCCGTGCTTGCGCAGAGGATGCAGTACGCTGAGTTGCTGACTTCGGTGCTTCGTGTGTGTCCATCCATTAAAATATTATTTAAAATTTATTTCATGAGACTAAACAAATTTTTTTTTCATAATTTCTTAAAAACAGATTTTGTTAATATTATAATTATAATCTTGAAAGTGCAAGAAATATGATCCATAATCGCATCAAATCAGTCAAATCAGCCCTCGTTGCTTATTTTAAGTCACGGGATCACGTCATAAAAGTTCTACGTTGAAGAGGCTTTTTGCAAACATTCAACGTCTCTTTGCAAAAGGCCTTACAAATAACGTCAACACTGACAAAACGCCGGATTTATCGGGAGGGGTAACAAACCATGTTCGTGAGACAATATTATTCTCATGGGAGTAGCCAGTTATAACTCAACTCTTCACTTACTTGTGTTGTTGTTGTCACGAAAGTCCAGCAGGGCTTGACTATAGTGCGGCTTTGAGGAGAACTCCTCCGAACTAAATGTCTGGGCCTGTCTGCTGCTATGGTTGCAAGCTAGAGCACATATCTAATGGGGGGTGTAATGGAGGAATGAAGGTGTTAATTAGTTTACTCACGCTGACCTATGCAAAAAACAAGACAAAACTATTCACCCCACACTCTTATTCGAAGTGACGTTTCCTCGTAACCATGGTACCCGCCACGACGCGAGACTGATATCTGAAGGAGTTCTTCTGAAAGCCGCACTATAGATTCATAAGCCAAACAACCTCAGGAAGTCTAAGTCCAGTAATGGACTACCAAGAAGATCTTAATAGCTGAACTCCAGGCACTCCGAGATTTTTGAGTTTGGGAAGCCTGTTCAGAGAAGCGTCTGGTGCATACGTCATAAATTCTTAAACCATCTGTGAATGTCATAGTTCTGAGAAGGAGGGCGAGAGCAGTTTGAACCTGCCTGTTACATTTAATCTTTCAAGAACCACCAGGTCTGTGGCCCCTGATGCACCGGGGAAATTGACCGAATTGCATTTCCACTCGACTTAGTTTGGTGAATATATCTATGTATAGGTAAGAGGCTTGGTGGAATCACCTGCTAGTGAAATAATTTATTCAAGATGCTCAGTAGCTTGCTACTGGTCGATGATGCTGAATCTCGATGTTTAAAAGGTTGAGACTTAACCGGAAGGCTCTCTCTCCCTTTGTTTGAAAAAGCTAGTAAGATTCTTCCGGAAGATGAGTCTGTGAACGAGATTTGGCTATGTGTAGATAATAGTATGTTAACTTTTTCATCTAATCAATTGTAATTTAATTCATGTTTCACAGTTGTCGAATAAATAAATATTTCTGCAAGAGTTTTGTTTCTTGAGTTCAGTCAGTGCTATATATTTATTTGCTTATCGTTGTCGGGGAAAGAATGCCCATACGCGCCATTCTGTTTGAAGACTACTTGTAAAATACCTCCTCTTTATATTTTGAGATTTTTCTTCTTTTTTTTTCAAGAAAACCTCATTTTGTATTGACTGTCTTTGTTTATAATAACATTTAATTTCGCAACGTTGAGAATGATGTTTAAACTTGGAGTGTTACGTAGTTCTTTTTTTCAGTTCCTTTGCTAAAATAAAGTACACCATTAATCAATTCTAATCACATAATTGAAAAATTAATAAAAAAAAACAATAAGTTTATTAGTTTTTTTAAAAAAAAAAACTTTTTGGTATTGAAATAAAATAAAATTTAAAAAAAATTTGGTAAAAATAAAATTAAATAAAAATAAAACAGTACTCATACATTAGAAGTTAGCAGTTTTAAGGGTGTGAATCGAACGTCGTAAAACGTTGACATTAATTATTTAAATGAAAGCAACTAAATATGACTTACTGTGTTCTAAGTAACAGTAGGAGTACTAACACTGAACTGATGATACAAGACCCACATAAAAGAGCTTTGCGACTCATACACTCCACTAACAGTGTGAAGATTATAATACCTAAACAAACAATATAATAAACGTATGTTCTGTTAAAAAAAATACTAAGCCATCAAATTTACAGACTTATTTGGTCTGTTGCTTAGATAGCTGACATAGTCTATTGCTTAGATAAAACATAGTTTAGATAGCTGATGAACAATATTGTTTGGAAACTACGATTTTTTACAATAGATATTTTTCTTTTAAAAAACAAAGCATAAAAATTTTAAATTATCAGTTATAACAGAAGTGATTTTTAAAAAAATAATATATAGATAAAATAAAATGTTTTTGAATATATTTAAAGAAGCTTTCATTACATTATATATTTAAATTATTAGGTTAATTGAAATTAGAGACATAATTTATAATAATGATATAATAAGCAAATCAAGTATANTGCTTGGAAAAGCTTTGCAAATTATATGTAAATGTTCTTGAATATATTTAATGAAGTTTTTTTTAACATTATATATTTAAATTATTAGGTTAATTGAAATTAGAGACATAATTTATAATGATTATATAATAAGCAAATCAAGTATATATGTTATAAAAATGTACGGAAGAATAAGTTACAATTAAATATTTAAAATGTATAGATTACCAGGAAATTCTGCAGCTGTTGTCCACAGTAAATCTATGTAAAACTGTTGAGAAAATTTCGCACAAGGTACTAAAGAATTCATATCATCAGCAAGACTTTCGGTACTATTTTTATCCACTAAAAAATTCAAATATTACTATTGTTATCTTGAAGAAAGGTTTTCACGACTTCAAAAAAATTTATTTTTAAAAAATATTTAATTGTATGCATAACTTGTAAAAAACATGTGTAGAGAATAAAGAGTATCGGATGTATAGAGTATATATCTCACAGGCTAATTGTAAAATCCGGCTTTTTGCAAACTTCCAACGTTTCTTAGCAAAAAGTCTTACAAATGAAGTCAACACTGATAAAAGGCCTGATAAATAAATATCTGAAATTAAAATGATAGAAATAATGGGATAAAGGGCTAATGGGAGCCAATAGTGTTTTAAAAAATCTCTGAGTTTTCTCTAAATCTAATTTTCAAAAATTGATATACAAATCTTTTGAAATTTTGAACACTTCATTTGAATAGAATTAACTAAATATTAAGTAAGGAATTTTTTCCTTTCATCGCACAAACCTTTACAACAGACTCTAATTTTTACCAAATGTTGTATTTTTTTAAATATTTTACTGAGTTTTCTGAATTATTTCAATCAAAATAATTCATTGGATTGAAATAATTCATAATCTGAATTATTTCAATCAAAATTCAATTGAATTATTTCAAATTCAAATCTGAATTATTTTCAAATTTCTTGTTAATATCTAGTTCATTTTATCAGTGGAAATATGCCAAATTTCTCAAAAACTAACCATTTTTTTAAAAATCATTATAATTTTTTTTTATAATTTTTTCGTATCGACTATTTGGAAATGTTTATAACCGAGGTAATTTTTCATAATCACGAAGATAATTTTTTCTAAATGATCACCAAAAATCAGTTCTCAATTCCGAAACTTCAAACTGTTTTTTTGGAAAATTTCACAAAATTGTTCAAATGTGCTTCTTTATGTTTCTAAAAAGTAACTCTTTTATTATAATGCAAAAATTTAATAAATAAGATTTTTCCCTCCTAATCTTATGTAATCTCTTAACCCTTTAAAATACAATATTCTCGAATTTTTTTTTTTTTTTTTTTTTTTATTTTCATAATATTTTCTCGCTAATTTTTTTTTATGATTGATAACTCTTTTACATCATTCGCAAAATTTATCGTTGAAAAAATATGCCTCCCAAATGTGGTGAACCGAGTTAGAGACCCAGCGAAGGCTGATCGATACGAATTTCGCACCCAACTTACACTGACCACAGTACTAACGTAAAATATTCTCAGTAGTAGACTGATCATAAGTTAGTCTCCTTGCGCTCAGGCTAACCGTGAGAGTTTCAAGTGGTTTTCCTCTTCATGTAACGCAAATGCGGGTTACTTCCATCAAAAAGTCCTTAACGAAGGCAAAATTTCTTCCAATTCTTGATTCAGGAGTCCCCTTGTCTTCTGAATTGGTATCAAAATTACAAGATTACGGAGTTGAAGATTGATAGTCGTAAACTGAAAATTGGAACGCTGTCAACAACTGTTATTAAATAATAAAGTAAACATTTAAATTTTAACTTGAAATTAGAACTAAAACTAAACTTTTTTCTTAGCTTTAGATTTCCAAGTATCTATAAAGGTGAAATAAAATTGGTCAAGAAAAGTTTCCTCTCAGTGTAACATTCCCTGAACAAGTCGCTAAAACAAATTTCTTTTCTCTTCCTTTTGATTTGTCAAATAAATGCGTGTAATAGAATTCGGAATATTGGTGACTCTTTTGATTTATTTGTACAAACACATACTATAAGTTAAAATAATGATAAAAATAACACAACAATCATACATAACAATAAAAAATTTCTTGCATCTCTTAGTGAAATGAGTCTCCATTTCAATAGTTTAAATGATAAGATATGAGGTCTGCAAACCTACCTATCAAATTTCCCTTTTGTACTATTATGGGACTCACTAATGCGATTCCATAGTATGCAAATGCAGAGGCAAGCCTACAAAGCAAAATTTATTTTATTTTTCATTGATAATTTGAAGATAAATACTTTTAACATATCATGCGTACTTAAGAATATGCGATATATTTTTTAAAAAGGTGCATGACCAGTTTGATGGTAAAAATGTCTAATTTAAAGGACGACAAAGTTTAACCGGTATAAAAATTGACGCAAAAGAGAATATACAGCTCTATAATAAAACTTGATAAATATTGAATATTAAAAATTTGAAATAAAAAGTTGCGTCTTGATGACGTCACACTACTATTTATTAACTTTTAATCGTATTAAATTTTGATGTAATTTGTCTCTAGTATTACTGTCCGTTATGTTCGTTAATAGAGGTAATAAGAAAGAAAACCGAACTTAATAATCATACGTCAAAGTTTTAAAAACTCTTAAACTATACGCAGAATATTCAGCAGTATTCTGTGGTGTATTTTCACCAAATTTTGCTCAAGCACGATCTTACTCATGTGAGAATTTTTCAATGACAATATGATGCAACTTTAGAGTTAAAGCAGATGATTTTTAATTTAATCACTGTTTACCGCAGTGATGATTCTAACTAATGCAGACTCAATATATACAAAGTCACTTTTCCTAATCGAACTTAAACATTTATTGCACCTATTTACTTACCCAGTATCTGACGTCATGATCATTATCAACGACGTCAGCAACCGGGTTGATAAAATGAGTTTCGTTGAGAGTTCAAATTATAAGATCAAATTAGATAATGTTTTTAATATTCTCGTTTGTAGTTCGTGCTGTAACGCAAAATTTTTTGAAGAAACATTATAAACAATGAAATAAACTCTGATAAACAATGTAGCTTTGCTTGGAAAAGCTTTGCAAATTATATGTTAGACGTTTTTTATGTCCGAAATTAGGTTTTGGGATTTTATTTACACTAATAATACATACCATATATACCAAATCAAGAGAGTTGTAAGTCTGTATTCTTTTCCTAACAGATCTTTGATTCTACCTCTTCTGTAACTTGTTGTGACTTCCACTAATTTTCCAGGTGGTAACTCAACGCCGTTTGTATCAGCCATTTTTTGAAGAATATCTGTTGCTTTTTTATACTGGTTGCTCACTAAATAATACCTTGCACTTTCTGGATACCACTGGGGAAAAAAAGATTAAAATGCATCGAGTAACTACGCAAAAAAAACTCAATTAAGCGTATTCTAAGAGAAAAATATATAATTTTACGAATGAGGTACTTTTAGAGAATGTGTTTATGCTGCCATATTTTAAACTCATTGATTTGAATCTTTATTAAGTGCCAACAAAGTTCAAAAATTTTAGCTTGACATTGTCGAAATGTGAATGTGGAAGTTTTCGGGAAAGAATTCCGTTAAAATAATTAACTAATCTTTTTTACTGGGTAGATCCGAATAAATTTCCCGTTTCAAATTTCTACTGATCACTGCTAAACCAACCGGCATCGTTTTTTCCTCCAATCGGCAAAATAGAATGAGCAAAAGTAACGGAAAGAGTTTAGAGCCACATAACAAGGGATTCACGAGGTGAACATTAAAAAAAATATGGTACATGTCTCTAGCAGTGTTTGTAGTTTAAATTTGTAAAAAAAATTTAAATTGTACCAAAAGTCTCCAGTTTTGGGGGTTGAATCGTGTGGGTCAGAGGATGAAGCGCTCTCCTCCCAATGAAGTGACCCAGATTCGAATCCCGGCGATGGCTGGTTGATATAAATTCTGCGCCCTGATCGCACCGACCACAGTGCTGAGGTAAAAATATTCTGTAGTAGACGGATCATGGGTTAGAGTCCTATTGCCGTCAGATTAACCATGGGAGGTTTTCGTCGTTTTTCTCCCCATGTAGCGCAAATGCGGGTTAGTTCCATCAAAAAGTCTCCCACGAAGACAAATTTCTCCCAATGCTTGATGCAGGAGTTCCCCTGTCTTCTGGATTGGGTTCAAAATTACAAGGCTACGGAGTTAACCATTAGTAGTGGTAAACCTAAAATTGGAATAACTGTGCAACGGCAGTTATAAGAGATAAATTTTTTTAAACCTACTATAATCCAAATTAACAATTTTAAATGATTTTTACAACATGTAACTAAATTAAAAGAATCCCGAAAAGAAATCTCTTTAACGTAATAAGTTTTTCCTACTTTTATAACATTGAATTATAGTAACATTAACTTCATTACTATTATGTTTTTAATTTTTTTTCAAACTCTGCAGAAAATCGTAACTCAAAATCACAAGATACAAAATTGGGTCCGCTGCTTAACTACTGTTATAAAATTTTAGAAAAAAATTTAGAATTCATATGTATAATGAAGTACTTAATTAGCAACTGAAGCAATATTAATTATTCATTAAGGTTCCTTTGTAAAATTTGCTGTGTTATTTAAAAACATAATTTTAAATCCTTCAATATGCGTTTCAATTTTCAAGGCAGTTGAAAAAACTATTACAAATGTCCGATCGAAATAAAACTTTGTACAGCCTAGTTTCTTGTTGATTGGAACAAGAATAGGAGGTGAGAGTATCACAATTGTATCTCTTGGACAGCAGCATACAGCCCAGGGCCACTCTACTGACATGCAATATTGAAAACAATCCAATTTCTGATTTAAAATCAAATCATTAGGTTGGTTGTAAAAGTTAAAGAATATTATAGACATTTAAGTCTTAAAATTATAAAAGAACAATCGGTCTAAGAGGTCTTCTCGTGATGGCAAGACAGTACAGTTTTCTATTGTTTCGAAATATTCTAAAGTCGACTATAAAGGTATTTTCATTACAATACCACTTATCTTGCTATATTTTGTAAAGAGCAGTACTTTGAAGTACCTACTTTTAGGGAAAGAATTACTAGAAAGGCAGGCACGGATGTGGATACAAGTAGAATCCTCCAACTGTTCAAATATTTCATAATTATCCAGGCTAAGAATATCACACCTACGCTTCCCAACGACCAAAAATACTGAAAATAACATTCAAACATTAAAAACTGCATAAATTGAGCAAAAATAAAAGATAACGCTTGATCTGATAACGTTTGATCTAATGATCGGAACTTCACGTTCTAGGTCTACATTATATCTTAATGGTTAGAAGAGGTGACCTGAAATACGTTAATTAATTAGTGCAGACAATATTTTAAGTCAGTATTATTAGGGCAGACGATATTTTAAGTCATTATTAGTGCAGACGATATTTTTAGTATTTTATTCAGACACAAAAACGTACATTCTCTGAATAAACATAATTTTTTCTTTGACGAATTCAGATTACTGACCCCTTAAATATAAGGAGTACCTTCAATCTGGGAAATATGATTCCAATAGTTTAGTCGGGAGAACGGTTCAAATTTGGACCCCTAAATGTTAATTGTATTTTTGGTTATTTTGCCATATCTGGAGAACTTTTAATGCGAATTGAAAAATTTTTGCGCATAATTTTAAAGTTTGTTTATCCAAATATAATTCCATATAAAAAATAACTTTGAATAAAAATGTGTCTTTTATTATTTTATTTAATTATAGTCGAAAAAATTTGAATTGTAAGGTATGCAATTTTTTACATCATTTTAAATAATCTAATTTTGCATGGCAAAATACAAAATTTGAACGAAATCGATCGAATATTTTCTAAGAAATCTAATTTTAAAGAAGTCATGTTTCTAAAATTCGATTTCTTATGAACTATTTGACTAATTTTGCACTGATTATTTTTTGAGCACTGTACATTAAAAAATCAAAAGGAATTGAGTGACAATGATATATAACAGCTCAAAAGAGTCAATAAAGTATACTCTATTACATTGTATAAAAGACAAATCTATGAAAAAGATTTTAAAAAAATAAATCTTAAAATAATTTTGTTAAAAAATATATCAGAAGGATTTAATTTAAAAATAAAACTATTAAATTAGTTGAAATCCAAGATTATATTTAAACCTTGAAGATCAAAACAAATTTTAGCTCATAATTCTTAATCATTATAATCCTTATTACAAAGAACAAAGTTTGAGAAATCACAAAAGTAATAACTTTGGAAAGGTAATAATAGATCATGATAAAGACATAGCCATTAGAGGAATTATATATTTACTAGCTTTAAAATTTAAGTTAATTTTTAGATTTATAATTATGTCCTAATCTACGTTTATTGACGTTTGGCTCATTTTTCACTAGGACTCAAATAAGTGCTAATAAAATTCCAAAATTATTCTTTCTTTAACTTACTAACATATTAACATAAGGAAATGCAAGTCATTTTTATGGATTTTCTGTAACTTTATTACAATATTTTTCGAAATTATTTCAAACTCATTTGATTGGCTTGGTTTTCGATAAAGCCCATTTTCGCTAAATCGCCAAATAATGGATCGCTCTCTACTGAGCGGCAACTATTTTACCGACACTCTTCCATTAAAATTTTCTCTAACTGGTTGCTGGGTTTCATGATCAGTTTAATGATCTTATTTTCAAAACTGAAAGATTTGAGTATGCATTTTTAACAATATTTCATTTTTAAAAAAGAAGAAATGGACAGTTCTACTCAGAAGAGCCTGAGTGATATATACTTTAAAGAAGGAAATCACTCTTTTGAAAATGAAATAACTGTATGTCTTGAAACAGTTGTTGTTCAACAAATGTCTCCCTCTTAGTTGGGATTTTCAGCTAAACAATATATAGTCTTCAAACCCCATCTACAAGAAATAATTCAGATAGAATTCGAATCCACAAATATTGAAAGTATTTCTAAAAACCAAAACGAATGAAAAGACTTGAGTTGAAAGATAAAAAAAAAATAGAAAAACATATGTAACAAAACATATCTGAATTATTCAAAAATGCCTTAAATTTTGTTCGAAATGTTTTCAGATTTTATACTAGTTGATATAAGAGAGTATGTTTTTTTGTATATAGTATGTGAATGCATTTTAAAATGAGTATACGAAAAAAATCATATAAATTACCTACACACAAGTAGAAACCAGCCCTTCCTCTCATATTTGGTGGGCAGTACTCACTGCAAAGTGTCAAACTGCAAAAATTAGAAAATTGTTTTTAATCATGTATTAAATAAAGATATGAAAAATATTTAAAAAAATATGTTTACTTACGGTTTCTGATATTCTGTAAAGATAATGGAAAAAATGGAATGTGTACTTTTATATTTTTAAATCATTCTTATTTTATTTTTGCAATCAATGGCACGGTGTAAAAGGTTTCGTGAATACTTTTCATGATGATCTACATTCAGGCCAACTGCTTATAAGCAATAATACATACACTGTTTCACAATTGTTTCACAGTTGTGTGCTCAGTAAACTTAATTTTTGCTCATTTCTTTTCAGACACTTACAACAATATTTTATGGTTCTCCTATATAATGTCCCTTATTTTGTTAAAGATAAGGAGGATCAGGGTTAACCCATAGGTTGGATAATATTTTGTCGATTTATTAGAAATTTATATTTAATTGTGTAAAATTACACATTTTTAACACGCTGTTTTTTATTTTTTTAATTTTCAGTCATTGATTATTTCTTGAGTCAATTTATCGACCAAAAATTTTCTTATATTTTAAAAATTAGAAAAAAAGGACCAGTCGTTAAAAGTGCAGCGTAAAAAAAGCTATTGAAAATCGATTAAATATTTCTCGAGAGAAGTATAATCTAAGTTGAGATCATTTAAGCATTGAGTGGAACAAAACATCCGATTTTTCATTGCGTGTAAGTGTTTTTTTTTCATAATACTGTGGAACGAGCTTTAGAAGTCATTCACTGTTTTGCTCAACAGAAAATTTTTATTTTGCACGGAATACTGGAATGCTGTCCCACACGTTCAACTTAAAAGTTTCCACTTAAAAGTCCAACATTTTCAAAAATTGGTAACAGGAAAACAGTTAAGATTAAAAAACAATTCTTGAAATCAAGTTAGTGAAACAAAGCACAGATTTTTTTTCCACAGTTCCTACTTTTACTTCACAAAATTTGACTTTGTGTGACTTTTCTACTAAATTTTACGTTTCTTTGCTCTCCGATAACGGCATGAGATTGTGGCTGATAGGAGAAATTTCGAGAATACCGTTATGTGATTTTCCTTCTTTAAAAGGTTCGAAAAACTTTGATGTGAATTTTAATAGACTTTCCTTGATTTACAAGCTCACTACTTGCAACACCATCTGTGGAAAAACTTTTAAACTAAAAGCAAGATTGCCGGGAGAAATGTTTATACCCTGTCACATAATATTTCTACCCATTTTTTTCAATAACCTAAAGCTGTATTCCAGTTATACATCTTTAAAAATAGTCAGTCTAATTTCGAACAATTTATTCTTAACCATATGCTTCTAACTCGAATTTTTCTTTAGATATTAGAACATTCACAAAATTATTAGAACAGTGAATGTTCTAATGTCTAAATCTATATTTTAACATCTATCACTTCTTCAAACCTTAACAAGTTGAATACCACGCTAATCTTACATGGCTTGCCCGTCTGGTCAAACGGTAAATAACTACAAACTAAATTTGAAAATATAAGACAGATTTTGCTAGTTTTTTTAACCCTTTCGCGCCGACTGTCACAAATACATGACAGCATAAAACCGTATCAATCAGGGAAAAAATATAAAGCTGGTAATCAAAGTATTTCTTTAGCAATTTATTTGTTGGCGGAGTTATAATAGTTTGATTTATTTAATTCACCATTCAAAATAAAACTATTTAGTTATGCTTTGAATTAACATTGATTTTATATATATAGGATTAAACCAACAATAATTAAAGTAAAAGCAAAGTAAGTCTGTCAAATTAGCAACGACTACATTTAAGTTACCGTTTTTTATTTAATTGCAACTTGATTCTGATTTGGTACGAATGCTTTTCTGAATCACCCGTCCTCAAGGGGTTAAAGGTGAAATAAAAAAGTGGAGAATTACATAAACCAACGAATTGTTTAAAAATAGTGGTGGATGAAAATCTACTGAATTGAATTTATTAAACCAAGAATCACAATTAATAAACTACCACTTGAAAATATTTATTCGATGTCCGGAGCAACTTGGCTTCTCTGTGTATTTTTGTGTATTCTATATTGCATTAATTTCTTCAAACCATTTTAGTAGCGATAATAATATATAAAAAAATTAAAAGCATTAAAAATTTACTCGAATTATGTGTTTCTAATAATCATGGCTTCACCGGTCAACGGTGACCCNTTGCATTAATTTCTTCAAACCATTTTAGTATCGATAATAATATTAAAAAAATTAAAAGCATTAAAAATTTACTCGAATCATATGTTTCTAATAATCATGACTTCGCCGGTCACCGTGGCACTCTCAGTGCCGGACACCAGTGATCCCCATGTCATTCAACGTGTTAAATTCAACACGTAATAACAGTGAATTGCTATTCAAACATAATATGAAATGCCACTTGTGTTGGCGTCATGAAAACCGGATCGATGAATAAAATTTAGCAAATTAACCAATTATGAACGAAAGAACCATTTTAAATAAATAAGCAATTATGTTTTTTGTTTAAAATTGCATTTAATTTCATATCATAATAATTATTACTTTAAAAGAAGAGAGATTTATTTGAGAGGCTTAGTTTCTTTCTAAAATAATTTTATTTTCTAATTTAACTTATAACTCCAAAGCTAAATCATTGATAACATCGTCTTTAGTATACTCGGACTGTAACATTAGGTTGTCAATCTCTTTCAAAGATCGCCAAAAAGAGCTCTTTAAATAAGAACCACTCACAAATATTTTGAGTACATTCGAATTGTGTTTTGTTATTTTTTTTGTTGATATTTTTTCGTATTTCTTTATTTGACCTTTTCTGCATTTGGTGGGGAGGTTTTAATGGTCTATCCTAAAGGTTTTCCTCAATACAAAGTCTATGGCAAAAAATCCCGTGCCTCACAAAAGTGGTCGTAAATAGAGGAGGTGGTCTTTCCTTGAGGCTTCACTGTATTTATTCAATAAAATTGATTTCTTACCCTTGTCCGACACCGGCAAGAGCAAATCCCATGCATGTCCGAAAAACAACCATCCAGGTGTAATTAGGGGAAGCAGCACTTATGGCACCAAAAGAGAACAGCAGAACAACTGACACTGTAAGTGCCTGGTTATAAAATATGACCATAAGTAATAAATAACATGAAACAATAAACAACATAAAAAAATAAACAACATAAAACAATAAGAAATATAAAACAATACTTTTAATTATACATTTTCAATATATACCTAGACATGAAATGCGAGAAACAGTAAACAGCAACATTATGGTGATATTCGAATGTAATATGGTAAACTGCATGTAAATGCATGTCTTTGGAAGTCAATGCATCTCTAGAGGTTTCGCTTTCTTCAGATAAATGTGGTCCTATTAACATTAGGTGTGCTCTATTAATCGTTTCTTTTTTTAGCTCTGACTTTAGTGGATATCACCATTTCATCACCTTTCCTTTTTTACAGAATACCCTTTGTTATAGTTTGCACTTTTCGCAACTCAATGTTATTAACAAGACTGAAAATGACTTCACTGTGTCCGGTTTCATATTTAAAGCCATTTCCAGCCCCGTTAACAGAATTAAATTTGAATTTAGATCCTATTAGTACTGAAAATCACTGGGATTCAAAATAGCTTATCATATTTTTTTAGATTTTGGTAGTTAATGCATAATATCACTCACCATATATTTTTTGTTGTTGTTAAACACAGCTCTACACAGCTTTATATATTTATTCCTAACAATTTTTACAATGGTAAATTTCATTTTATCTCCCACAAAAATTGCTTCGAATTATGGCACAATTTTTTTATTATCTCTGCAGACTGCAAAATCTGCCATAATTTTCCTTTCGGCTACCGGGACTTTTCTAGTTTCTTTTTTTTTCACATTTTTTTGTTAGCAACTTTACATTGTCTTTCACAATTCTGTTTTGTTTTTCGCTTCTCGACAGTCTTGAATATATGCGTCTATTAAAAACTTGTTGACTTTTTCCATCTTTATAATTCTTGAAGTTTTATATATTAAGTTTTACATTATCAAGTATATTTTTCCATTTCAATCTATTAAAATTATTCATTTGGAAATTGTTTAAGGAAATCTATCTTGACCTGGGAGGACGCGAAGGGGTAATTTTATCATCCCATGCATTCCATAAGTTCTGATTCCTAAGAGCCTAAGCAACTCATCCCTTTTTTATTAGAGCCTCATCCCCTTTTTATTAGTAGCTGTGTCTTCCATCATAGCCTTCTGTGAGCAGGAATTTCCAGCATTTTCCCTCCCCAAATAGACGTTTTATTAGTTCCTGGAGTCATAAAATAACCCAGCACGTCTTACAGCTTAGTCTGTAAATCATTTTATTTCTCGTGGCTGAGGTGATAGTACTTTTTATTTTTATATTATAACCGTCGTTGAACAATCGACCCACTTTTTGGGTTCACGACTACTAATATTTCACTACGTAGCCTTGTAATTTTGAACCCAATCCAGAAGATAAAGGAACTCCTGGATCAAGTGTATTAGGAGAAATTCGCCATCGTGGTGGACTTTTTGATGGAACTAACTCGCATTTGCGTTAGATGGAGAGGAACACCACAAGAAACTCCCGCGGTTAGCCTGGCGGCAAAGGGGCTCTAGCCCGTGATACCACTGAGAATATTTCCCATCAGCACTGTGGTCGGTGCAAGCCGAATGCGGATTCGTATCGACTAGCCTTCGCTGGAATTCGAACCCGGTTCTTCACCCCATTGGAAGGCGTATGCTCTATCCCCTGAGCCATCGCTACTCGCCGTGTTAATATATAATTTTTCATTCGTAAAAGTGATTTCTTCTTGTTTACGATGTTCATGAAAGTTTTGCCTCAATAAGTACTACAAGATAATCCTTACTCTCTAACGACAATCCGCTTATTTTGTATAAGAAAACCGACGACGTTACCTAACTGTGAGAATCAAAGATCTTGATATGCAACTTATTAGTGATCAACGAAAGTGCAGTTAATCCGAGTTTTAATCATGAACTACAAGTTCAAATATTACACATTTTTTGCTTAGAATTACCAAAATAAAATTTGTAATCTTCATCAAATCGATGTTTTACTCGGAGATATCGTGAACTACTGGAACTAACGATTTGTGTCCGATTTTATTGTTTCACTGAACATAAAAAATTTCTCTGTGTAGTCTAGTTGTCTCCGAGGAAACATAATATATATATATACATATATATATATATATATATCTNTGGCGAGCGTTAGCGAGCAGGGGGTGCAGCCCACTAGTATAAATAAATATCACTTTATCTGCATTTAAACGAACATATATAATATTATCAATCAATACAATCATATATAGTAGAATATAATAATTTATGTACTAATTTTCAGAGAAGTAAATATTATGTTTTATTTAATTTTATAACAAAAATGAAGAGTAAAAAGTTTTAAATAGTTAAGCAATACATATTCAAAGTTTAAGATTTATTAAGAAAAATTCCAAGATTAATTCTAAATAAAAATTATCAGGGTTTTTTTCCTTCTTCTTTTTTTGCAGCGAATTAATGAATTTTATTTGGGGTCATTCCTTGCCCCCCCCCTCGCATCCTAACGTTCGTTCAGAAGGTACGCGTTGTCCCGGGTTAAAATGCAAATAATTATTTGCTTGATAGAATTTCGAGATGATAGATGAATTATGTTTCATAGACTTTGCATAAAAAATGTACATAAAATAGTAGTAATTTATCTGAACATTAACTAATGAGCCATTGGATGGAATATTAATTATCAGTATTCTTTAAAATAAACTGCCATAATAATATTTTGTAAGCATAATGAATCAGCCTAAATGAAAGTATAATTAAGAAACGCTGGCGTGTAGATTTTACTTGTCACTGATCAAAAAATTTTAATGTCTCTGAATATAATACCAATAGAAATTCCGTCTCATCAAGTTAGAGTGCTTAATTAGTTTATGATAGCATGTTTGTTATTTATTTATAGTGATGTTCTGAAACCGTTGAACGGGCAAATTTTTGCATATCATTCAACATTTATGACAACTTTTTTCTTTCAACTTGTGTTAAAAACAATAAGTTGTGCAAATTTATCATTAATATCGCCATCGTTGGCTAGTTAAATTTTAAAATAAAAAATTCGTCGTCTCAATTTTGAATAAAATTAAGTTTTTAGAATATGATTTATTAAAATAATATAATATAATGAATAAGTGAATAATAACAAAATTAACAATAAGTTGAAAAAGGAAAGAAAAAGTGTGATTTTCACGAACTTTGTAGTTTTGAAGTATCGAATCAGATAAACAGAAAAATGCAAATTTATGCAACGAAACGTATAATGGGTTAGCGAAATAGTACGTCTAAAAGTGTTTTGCCCTTAAAATGTATCTTTATTGCAGTTTTGTTTAATAAAAAAATTTTCGAATTAAACAAAAAAGAAAGCTTACCATTTTCCTCCCATACACGTCAGCTACTGTACCTAAAATCGGGCTTCCTATCATTATACCAGCAAATACTACCTGCAAGTATAAGACAAAAAATTAGTGTTTAATAGTAAATGTTATTTACTTAGAAATTTTTTTTAACAAGTCATGGGCAGGTTATATATTATACGCTCACGTCTGAATAATAAAAAAAAAATATATCTATTTTCAAAAATTCAAAAACTTAGAGAACCAAATCAAGTGAAAATGTATATGAAAATACATTAGCCCTGCATAAGGTCGAGCGAAGTGTATTTCCCACCAACTTTATAATTTTTAAATCTAGATAGGAAGCAATTTTCTCACTTCAGATTTGTGCGGCATCTGTTGAAAATTTCAGAAAAAAAAATTTAAAAAAAAAATGAAGAGCTTTGTATAGGTATAGTAAAGCATTCTCGCAGCAACCGGTGTGACTATGTGGTCAGCACTGTACACTGGACAAGCTGGTACCCATCTGAGGCTGCGTGGCCTTCAAGCAGCAACCGGGGATCGGAACCCAGTTCTTCACAATGACAGTTTAGTACTCTAACCACTGAGCTGTTGCGGCTTCGTATACATATATAAGAGTACACATTACGAGTCACTCAAGTTTGTCAATAGACATGGCAATACTTTTACTTTCGTTAGTTGTAACGAAAGTACAAGTTAAAAGTACGGACTTTTACTTGCAATTCGTGACTTTTTAAATTTAGGACTTTTACTTATTTTCGCGTTTCTTTTTCGGGAAAAGTACAAGTATTTGTAATGAGAATGTCGAAAGAAATAGTTACTTTCTAAATTTTTTTTAATTAATTTTTTTTTAATTTATAAATTTAGTGCATGATATATTCTTTAACAGCTAACTTCTTTTTTCAAATATCTTCATGGATCGCAATTTCCCTAAAGGGAGAGGTTGGCAGGTGGGAGGAAACGTGAAACCCTTACTTTAAGGGATTTGTCTGCATATGAATAATTTTTTTTCTTTATTCATTTCTTCAAACAAAAATTATAATGTTATCGAATTTGCTCCAGAATTTAATTTGTTACTAAAAATTCCGCAAGGAAACAAAATTTCTAAACACTTAATAGTTTTAAATGAGTTTAATTTAAAATTCCTTTTTATATGCAAACATTAAATTTTGATTTCTCGTTTGGTTTCTATCAACGTTCACTATTTCAATAGAATTTTTTTAACATTTTCCTGCATTTTAAAGTTTTACACATTTAAATTAAAACTTGCTGCATTTTAAATTTTCGATTACTTTGAATTATCAATTTCCTCGAAATGTACTTTAAAATTGTTGCTTTTTTAAAGTTTTGTACTTGTTCTTTTTAGTCGGTACATTTTAAAATCAAAACTCTTAACTCGTTACTCTTGCTTAACACGTTGAATGCTATGGGGATCACCGGTGATCGGTACTGAGTTTGTTCGTAGCCCCACGGGGGTCACCGGTGACTGACGAAGCCAAGATTATTAGAAACACATAATTCGAGTAAATTTTTAAGGCTTTTAATTTTTTTAAATATTATTATCGTTATTAAAATGTTTTGAAGAAATTAATGCAGTATGGAAGGCACAAAAATCATTTTGGCCAGAGAGGCAAGCTATGTAAAATTAGCGTGGCATTTCAACGTGTTTAAGTGCTTGTACTTTTACTCGTTACTTTTTATAATCAAAACTTTTTACTTTTTACTCATGCTATTTTTCATGCCATTTTCATAACTACTACAGTTTCTCATGACTGTTAGGTCGAGTTTAGGCAATCTGTAGCCAGCGCTATCTGTACTTATCTTGAAAATGGCGCAAAACGTCAATATGGAGAAAAGTCACAGTTTTGTGAAAATAAAAAGCGTTTGTGATATAATTTTTTTATATTTAAAAACGTATTACAGTGCTGCATTATCTGGGCTAATAAAAATTTGCTAAACCTAAGACGGGGATTTTTATAATTTTAATCTAGGTGGGAAAATGTCGCCAAATTGGCGAATTTTAAATATCTATAAAAGTATTTAAGTTATCCGTTCGTTCCAAAGCCCAGACAATTCTTCGCGACTAGATATTATATATAGTTTAAACTTATAGCTTTTCTTCAAATGTAAAGCACTTAAACTGTGACTTTTTTTTAATCTTCTTGGTGAAAGAGCTTCAAAAACCATGTTAACTAATACATTTTACAAAATAAATTATTTCTGTTGTGTTGGATTGACATGTTTTGTACAATCAAAAATTAAAAAAACAAATTCTAACTTACTGATGTTAAGAGAGCAACCTGCCACCTATGCAATTCCCAGTCACAAGCAATAAAGTCTCCTATCATTGCTAAAATGAAGGTTTCCGCAGCGTCTGCAAACTACAATGAAATAAAATGATGATTCAAAATCATGAATATTTTATTGAAATAATTACTTTAAATATGCGCTTATCATATGCGAAATTGAATGTCAAAGTCAGTAATTTTGCACTTTGTATTGATAATTGTCTTTATCATATTGGGCAACCTAACACCTAACCGATTCCCAATAACATGCAATAAAGTCTATTATCGCTAAAATGAAGGTTACTGCTGCATCTGCAATGAACTAAAATGATCATTCAAGAATATGAAACTATTGGTGAAATGAATACACAAAATATGTGTTTATGTAAAATTAAATTTCAAAGTCAGTAATTTAACGTATTGCCCCTGTTTGCACTCAGGGGAGCATCCGGAGAACACTGTAGACTCAAAGTGCGCGCACGTGACCCCTCAGCAAAAGAAAAAGTGAATTCAAAAAGGTAGGCTTGGTGGCGATCAATGGCAACACCAGAAGGCCTCAAAGAATTTAATGAAATCTTAAAACTAACAATAGTAGTTACTCAGAAAATAGAATTTAGGAGTTTGAGTGTTCAAACATAATAGGCAAAGCATATTAAAAAAAATAATAATTGTAAAAAGTTAAACATATTATGATAATGAAAAGTATTAGAATTTGTCCAAAGCCCATGAAAACAGATACAATTTCAAAAAGAAGAGTTACGGCGAGGCAGCCGTGAAGACAAATCCACAAAAAAGAGGAAACTCAAAACATGAAAGAAAATTTGTCAAAATTTTGAACAATAAATTAATCGAAAATTTTAAAATAATTTCTAAAGTGCGCAAAACGATTTATATAAAAATAAATTTTAATGAAATAAAAAAAAGAGAGAGATGCATTGAATAATACTGAAATCGTTCCCCTTCCCTTGATGGTGGATTATCAACTACCCCGATTTTACTGACAGGGTTTACTGACATTGCCTTTTCGTTCACAGAAGGCGCTGTATTCTCAAAATGAAAATAGCGTACAAGTTGTTTAAAATGGAGATAAATTAAGATAATATCAGGTTGAAAAAAATAGGCTAGTTTAATATTTTTAAAAAACCTATGTAATGATACCAAACTCGACCGCTACCGTAAGAGGTACATTGCATTTTAGATCATTGATGGTTACTGCTATATTTCAATAAAAATACGGGGGAAATTATTTAAATGAGTGGCATTAGGGACTTTCAATGAACTGTTATTTCATAACTAAGGTAGCTGGATAACTAAAATGGCTGGGTAGTCTAGGAAGTTACCCATGAATATAGCGTGTTTATTTATTTATTTTGTTTGAATTTTGGGTTAATTTTCAAAGAAGAGTGCGCACGACTTATACATGGACGAGCTTATGTATGGAAAAAACGGTATTCTTGAAACATTAAAATAATGTGTGACTCACCCATCCAAGGCCAGCCAGCATAAGTAAACGTATCTGGAATTTTCCATACCCAGCACGATTAACGGCATCATCAATGGAATAAAAAATATCTATAAAAAAGGAAGAGAAAATTAACTTACAAAACTCAACTTACTAAAATTACTTTCTTAACTCTTCTTTACTTACTAACTAAAGGAGAGAGTGAGAAATTTACTATGTTTAAAACTTAAAAATAAATTGAAACGAGTTTAATATGTTTTGTTACAGTTGTCACTGTTTTTCCGTTATAATGGACTGTTTAATTTACAAGGTGTTCCATAATAACTGCCTGTAATATATATTTTTAAAGTCTTTGTTAAAAAATGACGTTAAAAAATATTACAATACTAGCTTTCCGAGAATCAGTATTTTAGCAAGGAGAAAAAAAAAGTTCTACTAAAATTTGATTATCTAATATCGTGGTTAATCAAAGCAAAATGACGATTATTAGAAAAGCAGTTAATATTTCAGATTGTGTTTAAATACGCTTGAATTTCGTTAAGAATAGTCTTATAAGTTTCCCCCAGAAATACTATGATAGTCTCGATAATAATTCGCAAAATTTTGATAACATTTATTTCTCATTGAAACATACCCATTGTATTATTTTACTGACAATTTTTTGACAAAAGTTTTAAAAATAGCTATAAATGGTCAAGTTTTGGATTTTTTTCCCATACAAAGAATTTATAACGAGTTTAAAAAAATTTCATAAATTATATTTACAATCATATCAATGTAATATCCCAATTTAAATTGAATCGTTCGCCAGAAGGAGTTTTTAAGAGAAATGTAATACGTATGTCACATGTTTTAGTACACTTCTAACCACAAAAACATTTTCCCCTATGTTACAATAATCTCTTTAGTGTCTAGTTGAAAATCGGAAAGTGTTCGCTTTGTTCTGTTTAAGAAATTACAGAAATAAGTTACAAGTAACATTAACAGATGGTGCTGAGCTTGGAAAGAAAAACTCTAAAACTATGTTTCAAAATCGCAACTACTTCCAGCAACAACGAGATGCAGTTTGTGATGGAAGCCCTTGCAAGTATATTAGTTAAAATAGTTTGACACGTAGAAGACAAGACATTGTATTACAGTTTTACTCTAAAAAGAAACTATTTTTTAATTTTCGGATAAAAAAAATTTGTCGTCGGCGATTTTTCAAATCTGGACACAGCTGGACATATGTTTTTCGAAAATGGATATACACCCTTGTGCAAATTAATTGAAACAAACTTTTTTTTTCGTGTTTTTTAAAGAAGATGTCTTGGGGTTGTTTCGGTTACAATGGGGTTGGACCTTTGCAGCCTATTGACGGTATGATGCGTTCTGAGCAGTACATTACTATTCTGGGTAAAAAAGTTGTTCCAGAGTTGAAGAAACGATACCCTGATGGAACAGGGATTTTTCATCAGGATTTAGCTCTTTGCCATGCGTCCAAAATTGTCAAGAAATTCATGTCTGAGAATCAAATTGAGACATTGGAATGGCCAGGGAACTCTCCGGATATCAACCCAATTGAGAATCTCTGGGCCATATGCAAGAATCGCCTATTAAATATGGACTGTACTACTATGGAGAAGCTAATCACGGCGTTAATTCATGCCGAATCGCGTCCAAATGTTAATAAAGTGTCGTGGAGATCATATTATGTACTAAAAATTTTTGAGTTTGTATAAATTTAAATAAAATAGCATTTTCTCTTAGTTTTCTGAATTTATTGAGTTTGTTTCAATTAATTTACACAAGGGTGTACACTTCAAAAAGTACGTTTACGAAAATGGACGCAGCTCAATATGCGAGCATTAAAAAATGGCAGTTGTTTAAAAATATGGACAAAGCATTTGATTCCTTTTTTAAACTTTTTTTTATGAGTATTGTTCTTTTTTTTTAAAGAATAAACTAATGGATCCAAATAGATGCTTAAATCTTCCTTAATCAATTCATATATTTCATTAAAATGTTCTCTTATAAAAAAACTAAAAAGTCAACAGTTATTTTTACAAGGTTGCGAAAGGTGTTATAAATTTATTCAGTTATTAGTAAATTTACGTTGTAGCATTAGAGTTTTAAAACTCACTTTATCTTAATAATTCAACAATGAACATATGTAATACTCGAGTCAAAATTCTTGATGGTCATATAAAATTTTTATGGTTCATGTTGGTTTCAGTGCGATTCATGACGGTCCAACGTCATTTGATAGTCACCATCATTCATCATTTTCCACTATGTGTTCATGGTTTTTTATATGCCAACAGACTTCTGTCATTCCATGATTGGAAATGTTACTTTAATACTATGATTGTTAATAATCAGAATTTTGACTCTCATGGACCAACAATCCAGCATGTTCCGTGATGGTTCCAACTTACTATGCATTTCCAAGATGGTTAATGGGAATTCTTGTTGGTTCTCAGAAATATACCGTCAACACAATTTGGTTTTTATGTTAGACCATCGTAAATTAGTTCCTACATTGAGTTGATGGTTGTTCATGATCGTTCCAACATTTGATTTCTAAGATACTATGTTGGATGATGGAAATGGTTCAACATGAGCAAACCATCAAGACAAGTTACTATTCTTATGATGGGCCATCACAAATCAGTTCGAATTTTTACATTGAGGTGATGGTTACTTGTGTTGGTTACCATCAAGAAATATAATGATTCGTTATAGAATTATTGATGGTTACCATCAAGAAATACAATGATTCGTTATAGAATTATTGATTGTTACCATCAAGAAATATAATGATTCGTTATAGAATTATTGATGGTTACCATCAAGAAATATAATGATTCGTTATAGAATTATTGATGGTTACCATCATGATTATGTTGATCCATCAATGAAAAACCATCAAAAATTTTGAGTTGGGTAAATCATAACCATCTAGAAGATGTGACCTTCATTAAAGAATATTTATACATTTATTAAATCAGATGCATTGATCGAATAAGATACATTGCGTAAAAATATTTGGTAACCCATGCTGCAGATGCTGCGAGCCCAAATGCGACCCATAATTCTAGAAACTCTGACTTAACCTATGCTTTACTCCTTTACCAATCGTTACGTCCAGTATGTAAATTATAAAACATATTTTTGTAAAATGAAATAATTATAGATATAAATCCGCATCTTTTCCGAACTCATATCAAATTGTAAGAACAATAATGGGAAAACATTTTTCATAACTAACAAATGTTTAAATTTTTTTGCCTTATATAGTAGATTTAAATTGCCATAAAGATACCTAAGGCACACTAGAAATCTTTTATCATAAACTATGTATATTTTTTTTTATCAAGAATATGTTTATTTTTTCAAGTAGTACTATTTTTTTCTTTAATTTAGAGTAAAACGGAATGGCAAAAGCATGCGTATATTTTTAAAACAATCTATTTATTACAATTATATATACACCACCCTACAATAACTGAAAAAATACATTCAGTTTTTGACACTTTTTTTAAATTTCTCAAAAAACACTTAGCGAATCCCTTTATAAATTTAGATGTGTTTAGGTCATGCGATTTCATATACGTAAAAAACGTACTTCAACGTAAAAAACTTTTGGAGGTTTGGGGGAAAAGGCAATAGATTACGAGTGAAAAAAAGTGTTTTTGAACCCCCTTCGACAGAACATAAATCAATAAACTTGTATCTATTACTTTGATTATTGTGTGCAATAATTGCGTACAATTTCAAAAGTTTAGCTTAAATATTTATGGAGACATTTTTGGGACGGACATTTTTGTAAAAAAAAAAACTAATTTTTTGTATTATGATTGTTTGCAATAACTTTAAAAATAACAAAAATTAAAATTTTTAATTAATAAGTAAATTATCATTATAAATTGAAAAAATCGTTAATTAATTCTTTCATGCTGCGCATGGGCGGAAAATATGTATTTTTTATATTGTTGTATTTTGTAACTTATAAAATAATTTCGATTGGAATATCTTGGAAAATTAAAAAGTTTCGAACAACCAGAAATAACAGTACAGGAATATCATATTAGTTATCATATGAAGATCAAAACATATTTAATTGGAGGTTTAACCACGATTGGGACCATAATTGGAGGATTTTGCTAAGGTTTTTGTTTTTAATTTCACTTGAATATTAATTTGAGACCCCCAATGAGTATACCTTTTTGTTTTTTGGATTCTAAAAGCACATTAAGGCAGATTTTACAAAAAAATCTTTTTTTTATATTTTACTTTAANGAAATAACAGTGCAGGAATATCATATTAGTTATCATATGAAGATCAAAACATATTTAATTGGAGATTTAAACTTAAAAGTGTTTCTAATGTTAGCTTTCTTACTTCTCATTGTTTTTTCACTCAATCAAACTAGTGTTGCTTTATACATTCGCATTCCTGTATTGTGATTCGTCAGATTTTGCTAGTGTTTTTGTTTTTAATTTCACTTGAATATTAATTTGAGACCCCCAATGAGTATACCTTTTTGTTTTTTGGATTCTGAAAGCACATTAAGGCAGACTTTACAAAAAAATCTTTTTTTTATATTTTACTTTAAACAATATCATATAATTTGATTATTATTATTATTTTTTTTTTAGTAATAGACTTTTATAAGAAAGTAACAAAAAAAATAGATATGAATAGATGAAGCAAAACATTTTTCAAAGAAATTATTAATATTCTTAAATAATGATCTTACTATGATTTAAGAATATTAATCATTGAGATATCAATTATAATAATCACTTTAAGTCACTTCTTAAATTTAATCTATGAAATTTAAATGGAAAATTAATTATCGAAACTTAAAGTAAAAAATGTGTTAAATTAAAATTCTTAACAGGCATAAAATTTATGCGTACTTTTACAAACAAATTATGTGTAGTGTGTTTTATATGTAGTTTAAAAAGATTGTTACAAAGCCGATATTTAATGATATGTTACTACATAACCATGCAATACTTATTGTCTTTTAACAAGTCATTTAAGTAAAAACACATCTTAACTCCAATTATTATTTTATTGAATTCCACTTACTTTTTTATGTTAAAAACAAATGTACGCTAA